TTTTTTTTTTTTTTTCATTTTCCACCGTATAGAAAAAAAAAAAAAAAAGAATTCCCACGGGTTGACAATTTTCATATGGGGTTAGTCACCCCAAGTTCGTTCCCCTTGGCAGCGAAGAGAAAAAGAAAAAAGGGGACGTGGCAAAAGGTACGTTGCTGTGTGTGTCTGGTACATATCATATCGCGAAGGAGGGACAGAGTGGCACTTTTCTGAGGGCCTATTTTGTGTACCTCCTCAGGTTGACCAACCAACAGCGAAAGGGCCCCCTTCCACCCCCTACAAGCTACTCAAGAAAAGGTACTTCACTCCGAGCAACCAAAAATTGTGCATCTCTTTCCACCCTGCAGTTTTCCACCGTGCAGGTCACTTTTTTCTTTTTCGTGGAAATTTCTACCGTCATTTGGTTTTTCCAAAGCTGCTTCGACTTACTATTGTAAAGAAGTTAAGTGGTAAAGTGACGTCCACTAGTCCACTACGTGTGTGCTTTCCTGCGGGAGGAAAACGTATCGGGCACGTGCTCATTCGCACACGCGTTCACGCGCTCATACGTGCATACGTCTAACGCCCCGTTATTCCTGCCTGCGACTTAACCTGCTTTTTCCCCACGATGGGTTAAAACAATTGGACGGACCCAATCGTCACGGGCTGCACATTAGCAAATGGGCTTCAACTGCAAAGGGGCTTACATCCGAGAATGACCATCTACCTCCACATCGCCTTCTTCTTTCACATAGGCTTCTACCTCCTACTCTAAAATGCCCATAACCCAAAGGGGAGTTGCCCCCCCTTTGCATGTGCATAGGTAATTGTGATTGCCCCGTGAAATTTTATTCTCTTTTTTTTTTCCTGTTGCTTTATTTTTTCCCCAATTTTTTCCACCTTTTTATTATACGTTCCTTTCCTTTTTTTTCCCACTTTATGCCCCCATTTCTTCCCCTTTTTCTTCCCCCCCACAAAATTTTCCTTCTTTTTTTTTCCTTTTTCCTTCACTGTTTCTTCCTTTCTTCCCCATTTTTTCTTCTCCGAAAGGTATATATATCATCCCCACCCGTTCACCGCACGGCCCTTTTGCAAATTCCGCTGCAGGGAACATTTCCGCCAGCCGAGTAGAGGGCTACCCTTCCCATTCTGTGAAGTTGATTGCAACACGTCGTCTAGGCGTCACGCCCCCTGATTTTTGTAAATCCTTATATTTTCCCCTATCATTCTTTAATTCTATTTTATTTTGGAACTTCATATTAAACCGACCGCCTGGGGTGAACACCCTTTTCTTATTTTACCATTTTATCATTTTGTCATTTTTTTTTTTTTTTTTTTCTATACGGTGGAAAATGAAAAAAAAAAAAAAAAGTGCTCATGA